TCAGTTCTAGCCATCAAGAGCCAAAACTTTGGTCATTGACGGCCAAAGATCTAGCCTTCATTAATGGCCAGAAGCCATAGATTTGGGTAGAAACGACCAGATCGGTGCACGACTGACCATTTTCGACCCCGGCCGATGACTGGCGGTGGTGGCCACATTTGACCTTCACCCTTGGATAATTTTTTTCAAGTCCAAGGGTATTTATGTCCTAAAAATTTTGTATATGAGGATAAAATAATCCATGAATATATTTGTAAATTGTTTTCAAATTGAAGGCATTATTGTCCAAAATTTTAATAGTTAAGGGTAAAATTGTAACAAAAATAAGATTACCAAGTAATCTTAAAATACTAAGAAAATAGAGATTATCAAATTACCTCCTATATTATCAACAGTAACTAATATTGGTTTTGAAAGATTACCGAAATTATATACTTGACAACTAAACATGCACTTCAAGTAATTAAGAGATGACATTCCTCGGTAATGGAAGATTACCCCAACCAAACACACCCTTAGTGAATTCCAGTTGCTCTACCCCAAGATAAAAAAGAAACCCAAAGCTCAAGCGGTCTAGTAGTAGACAATAACCACTGGTGGCATTTGCATTAGCCATAACAATAAATGGGGATGGGAAAGGGGACCAAAACTTATTTTTAATCACCTATTATTACGCAATTGTGTAGATCAAAATGAGAAAATAACTGACTTAAATATGTAGTATAACTCAAGTCAAAGATTTCACCTTGGGTCCTTTCACAGCAAGGTAATCACCTTCACGCATCTCACGGAAGTGGTGAGACATTCTTCCTTGTGGATCCTCTATTAAATATGAAAGAAAATCTTAATTGCAGTGCTAATATTTGAAAAGAAGAAATTAACTCTTGGCTATCATTAACGCAGCAAAGAAGTCTAGAAGTGGTGAACCTTTATAACCAATTCAAGTGCCAAGATCTGAGTCCAAAGTTGTCGGATTGTATGCTTTGATAACTTCTTCACCGAAACTACCTTTCCTCTGGGTGAGAAAATAATTTTATAAGCATATTCCATTGTGGACCATAAAAGAACCCAATAAAATATATAACACAAATACAAAAAGGAGCATTGGGATTGTATTCTGATGTAATAGTAGAAACCAAAGCCAACCATGAAACAAACCTGCAGCTCTATGTTGTCCAATTGAAGCCCTAACACTGAAGTTGGTGTCGGAAGGGCAAATGTGAACTTAGCAACATTATGACTGAGTTGGATACGTTTAACAGTTTAAATTTTGAAGTTTTCAGGATCCAAGCACCCTGTAAATGCATATCAAGGTCTTATTCAAGTAGCAAACATAAAGAGCTAATCTCCTAATTTGTCTTTAGATTCAATCATATAGAAAGAGAGGAAAAAGAGAAACATCAATTGAAAAGCATAACTGGAAGAAAAGTAAAAGTTTATAAACATGTAAGTATGTGAAAACAAATCTCGGAAACAGGGTTGAAATGGATTCAGTGTCTCTCTTTGTTAAATTAGCAAGACCAAAAGTAAAAATGATAATCAAATATCCTAGAGAATGCTACCATCTAAAAGGCAAGAGATCATCCTCTAAAAGGTGTCTCCAGGAAGATCATCCAATGTGTTCATATAGGCTAGGAATAAAAATAAACAAAATACCAAATAATAAAGAAAAAATCCCAAAGAAATACATTAAATCATTGATTTCTATTTTATCCTACACAAAAGAAAATAAATAAATCTGATATTTGGCAATTTTTTACTTTTCTACATCTTTTTACAGCAAACTTGTCATTGCCAACCAATAAGCTATTAAGCAAAGAAAACTTACCTGATATTGTGAAATTCAAAATAAATAAATAAATAAATAAGCTTGTATGGAAAACACCCTCTTCAAATAAGAGATTCGACTTTATTTAGCAATAAAAAGAAAAAATAACAAAGAAGGAAACTAGCAAGGTCTATGGCAAGTTCGAGTTAACATCATTGAAAAAGAACTGGTTTTGCTGTTAACCAATAGCTGTAGTTGCACAAACGAGGTAGTCCATTTGAAAATGAATAACATATGGTCAAGGTGTGTAGAAGGATTACATCATTTTCCTCAACTATAGACATTGAAACAAGGGAGTTTTTATCCAAAACAACGTGGTAGGATACTAACTAAATAGAAGGTTGGCAGTTTAGGGTTCTATTCTTACATAAATACATACCCACTCCACACACAAATAAGTGTACGTGTATGTGTCCGTATGCAAAAGACAGAACTTAATGAGCAAGAAGCACAAAAAAAAATAATAATTAAATAAGCATCCAGGGCAAAAAGCATGAGCTACCTTTAGCTCAGATAGTTGACAGGAGATTCTGTTTCCTTTTGCACAACTTCAATAACTTATCATCTTGAATACACCTTAGGTAAAGTAACAATATCTCACTGTCAAAAAAGAGAGGAAATAACAGTAAGACCAGGATATGACGGATATGCTACTTCAATTCTCCAAGATAGCCTAAACTGATCACTACCAAATATTGTTGTCATATGCATCAAGCCCCTTATAAGAGAACTTGGCTCTTCTTGAAAAGGTTTTGGTGATTTCTACTGGTAAAATCCTCATTGGCATGACATTATTAGATTATGCTCCTCAAAAAAGGTCAGACTCCATACAAGATCATGAGGTCAGGCAACTGCTCATAAAAGTTACATTCTCAAGGCTTAAAATTTTTCATCTTATACGAAGCTAGTTGTAGGTAGGAGAACAAAATAAGAATTTGGAAAGACTCAGATTTCAACCTTAAAAATTTCTTGGCGGTGCCTCGATTCATCTCAAATTTATTGGTTGAAAGGCTTTCTGATTTCAGGTCTAGAAAGTAAGCTTTAGTGCTTCAGAGAAAAATGAAATGACCATTCGTGGGGATCTTAACAAGAAACAAGAACTTATTGATGTCAGTGGATCGAAGGCCTTGCTGTTATGGCCCAATCAAATTTTGCTTCAGTTTCTTTAGATTTGGAGAAGTTCCCTTTTCCTTCTCCCTTTTCTATCTAATTTTTATTTCATATTGGGTTTGTTTTTTTTTTTTTTTTTTTTTTTTTTTTTTTTTTTTTTTTTTTTTTTTTTTTTTTTTTTGGTTTAAGTGTAATCCAAGTATTAAACTTTTGTTGATTACACAATAAGCTTTATATCAACACCCCCAAGGCTTTTCTAATAGGAAACTCCTTCAAAGGCAATAGGGAATGATAAAGTTTCGAAGAAACCATATGAACCACAAGTTTTTTTAAATCCAGAAACCATAAAAGAAGAACCTACTGAGCTGATTACGAAATTGGAAGGTAGTATGACACTGAAATGGAAATTCATAATAGCAAAAAGAAAGATGTATGAAGTAAAAAGTTGCTGACAAGGTGGAGTTCCTGTTCAGTTATTATGAGGTGCCATTCCAACTAAAACAGCAATGCTCTAGCTCAACTGAAATAAATATAATGGTTTTTAAGTTGAAATGTTAATTTATTTATTGGTAAAATCATAATTAAACATTTTATCTGAAACAATATGTGATTGATTTCACTTTTCCTCCAACTTACTGCCCAACAGACTATTCAATACCACTACACCTGTGGCAGTAATGCACATGGAGACAATGAGGGATATCACTTTTCTGCAGCATTAACAATAGAATTCCCCCCCTAAAACGCAACATTTGAAGATATACAGCCTATAGACAATTTCTCTCCAGATTTAATAGAGAGGAAGAGAAAGTTTGATTCATGAAATCCTTTTGCTTGCAGGTAGCTATAGGCATATGCAGAATCATAACCTTTGAAAATAAAAATGTAACAGAAAATAAAACACTAACAAATAGATATATATGCCAAGAACATGATACAAGAATGAGGGTGATGATCTCTTGAATCTGTGAAATGGTGGTAATTCACAAAAAAACAGAAGAAGACTGGAATAAAAATCAAATGGCATTATGTAATAAACCAAAATAACTACAATTACTTTCTGCAACTGGTTGATTCCAGAGGCATCTCAATAGTTGTCAATGTTGTGGCGCATTCCTATTCTAGAGTACTGGCACCTCCACTGGTTATTTGAAGGATAGAAAGGACCCAAATTCTTACTAGTGGGTTCACATGCATATATGCAATATTTGAACACAGATGAGAATGATGTGGAAATCCACACACTAGCAAAACTGAGACAGCTCAATCACAGAAGCTAATTCAGGTTTAGGCAGCGGTATCTGTTATATTGTTATAATGAAGGAGTAGCATACGTGACGCAAAGGGATGAGAATTGATAGTATTAGATGAGAATTGTAATATAAAACTTGTCACTCTTTCTCTACAATGCATAATAAAACATTTCTAAAGCAGAACTTCGAACTCCAAATAGTTGTTTCTTTCACCCATAATAAAACTGGGTTTCTTTATTAAGAAATACTGAGCATCCAATTGTTCAGATTTAAACAGAAGAACCAAGATTCTTACCGCTTATTCTACTTACATCATTTTGATTACGGAAAAATTCATACTGGCTGCAAAATTTCTTTCCCACAATTGAAAAGAATTAGAACTGAAACCTGGCTAACTAGTCTTAAGGAGCAGTTGTGAGACCTTTTATTGCAAGTGTTTTAGAGAGCAATAGAGCTTAGAACAGCTTTCCACAAAAACACTTAGACAGTTAGATGCACTTCCTGGAAAAGCATATATGAATACATATATCTACAAAGTGCTTTTGCAAAAGCACCTATAAAATGCTTCTCAAAAGTGCACTTGGTACTCCCAAAACAATTATATTAATTAGTGAAAATTGGAAAAAGAGCAAAAAAGAAATTTTCATTATGCGAAGCCATCAAACTAAATTCGGCATTCAGAGTGCAACATATATCACACAAAGTATCACTTTTCATATTAAGACATAATTGAATTGCAAAGTCGTAATAATTGTTCCGAAGTATTATAAAAAAAATCGAAAATAAAGAATAAAAGGTAAAAATAAAACCTTTAGGTTTCTTGGTCCTGGTGACATAGAAATAGTAAGCTGTACCAGCTCCAATGGCAACAAGAGCCACCGCTATGCTCAGCATCTCCACTCTGTGAGACTGTAATGCGTCCATTTTCGCCCTCTAACAGCCAATTGAATGGAGGTTATTTATCACAAGAAGCAGCTTGTTACTAAACCGTCTCTTCTCTTTGGTCAATATAAACTTTCGGTTGCAGCAACTACTGGTTTCTCTCGGTAGCATAAGATAATAGCCTAAGCATGTAATGGGTTGACACGCTTCATAGTCTTTCTGGCGTCACGGATGAGCTCTGCATTTTGCCCAATTTTATTTTTCAATTCCAAACTTAAGGTAGGGTTTAGTAACGTCTCCGTACCCGTGAGTTCTTTAAATTTAACCTTACAAGATTGATTATTATTAAGCATACTTAAGATTATTAAAAAGTATAGAATGTCTCTTAAAAATACTGTAATTATCATTTTAAGTTAATTACACTTATTTTTCATTACATTTCAATCTTTCACAAACCCGTAAATTAAAATTTTAGGTTAACTAAAAACCCCAAATGACATATTCAATAAAATAAGGGTACAAGTGTACCTTTTAATAAAAAAAATTAATAAAATTTATTAAAATAAAATAATTTCTTTAAAAAATAATAATTTTTTTTTAACAAGAACCGTCAACTCTCCTCTTCCGCTCTTCTCTATAATTTTAGATAATTCCAAGACCCAAATCTTCTTTTCCTTCTAATCTTTTCTTCATCAATTCATAATTTTTAACCCAAAAATCTTTTTTCTCAATTATTTTCTCTTTCATTCCATAACTTTTTTCTTATTGTTTGTTTCTTCGATTCCATTAATCCTAACCCTGTAAAATCTTTCCAATTTAGATCATCTCTTTGTTATTTTCTCCCTCATTGAAAAAGTTTCGAACCCATGTAAAATACAAGCCAGCAAATTCTTTTATTTTCTCCGTTATTCAAAACCTCAATTCCAACAAACAACCATTACCCGAAATACCACAGCAAATCCATTAAAAAAAAAAAAATTATATAACAAAGATTTATGAGAAGAATAAAGAAATTAAGTAGATGTAAAATCTTTCTCATCCATCCCATTAGGGGAGCAGCAGTGACAGCGGGGTGCGCCAAATTTGTTGGTGTGGGGGAGAGGATGAGGTGGACAAGGTGGAATAGGGTTGTGATGTAATACCCACATTCAGAAAAATAATAGGGATTATTTTCTAGTCATAGTGAATATATTTAACTAGTTTTATAGAGGAATTCTATAAAAGTTTCAATAGGGGTGAAATGGTCATTTCACACAGAATCATGTGTTCAAGAGAAAAGTGAATATGATATAATGCATTAAGTGTGCTAGCCATGAGAATAGAGTGGTAGAAAGGTTATGGACAATACACGTGATGTGATGTCGAGATAAATACGTGTTTGTAAAGTAATAAAAAGAAAGTAAAAAATAAGGGTAAATTGGTTTTTTCACTCACAACTAGATGAAAAAGTGGAGAGTGAAAATGACCAAGAACATGTGTTAAATCCGTTGAAAGTGAGGGTATATCGGTAAATGCATGTATGGCATAATTGGAATTATTATGAAAGTGCAAGGGCAAAATGGGAATATATAAATTACATGAGAATTCATGCCTAAGTGAATATATGTTCATTTTGTGGCTTTCTAAGGTAAGAATTTTGGCAAAAGTTTGTGATTTGTGTTTTATAAGTATGAGTTCTCATGAATTTATGTGTTTTAGCATTAATCAATGGAGCAAGTGAGCAAATGAAGCAAAGAAAATGATTCTTGCAAAAAAAAAGGTAAGTAAACTCAATCTAAGCTTTAATTTGAGTAGTATATGTGTAAGTTGATTTTTGAGTGTTTGTGTATGATGTATGATAAGAAGTATTGGCTGTTTAGATGCTTGTTTGATGGAGAATAATGTGTAGAAGTACAGCCAAGATGAGTAGTTATGTAAATGTGATGTTTTGGTTGAACTTTGGATGAAATTTTAATAAGTTGGTGTTGGAATTTGGAAGTGTTGAATTCGGCCAGATTTGAAGTTAAGTTTGGTGAGTTTTTGCTCCAATTTTGGTGGATTTGGAGAGATATGGAAGTGTGGCCAACCAAGTATTTGCATGTGCATGAGAATTGTTTGATGAAAATTCAAAGAGAAATGCATGCATGAGTTTGTTAAATCTTATTGCAGAAATTATTAGAAAAATGAAAGAATTGGAGTTGAAATGTTATGTTAGGCTTAACCAAGTGTAAATTTTAGTATTCAAGAGTGTATTTTGTTATGCCAAAATTTAGAATATCACTTGGTCATGTTAGTTCAATGAGATAAATGGCTTTTAGTACTGTATGGTTCAAGTTACTTAAACCTTTAGTATTTCCTCAATAGCACATTTTATTTAGTTATTCAATTAGAAATTGTGAAACTTGTGACGTTGGGAAATTGTTAGAAGGGATTTATATGTTAAATTGTTACTTTGACATGGCATTGTTGATAGTAGAGAATGATAGATTATATCATGACATATCAATATGCCATAATGAATTCTCAAGTTTGTGTACTTGAATTTAGAAAGATCATTCAAATAATGGCTTGGCCAAATGAGTATATTGTTGTTTCTTGTTTTGAGATTAATTACAAACAATATGTAATAGGTGATTTTTATTGTATAAAGAATAGAAAAGCTTTCACAAGTATAGATATCAAAAGAAACATCAAAGAAATAGAAGTTTGGTTTATGTATTAACTACATGACCATTTTAGAAATTGATTCATATGAGTATAGTTTTCATGCCTTGTTATACACGCTACAGATGACACGACCCGTCCCGAATTTTCTCATCTTGTAGGATCCGGGCGCTCCGACAAGACTCAGATACCCGAGACGTGCCATGTAGAAAAACTGTGAAACCTGTTAAAAGACTTACTTTTCCTGAATAACATCAAAGTATTTCCATTTCCAACATCTCAAAAAAAAGCATAAACCATCTTTCGTTTTACAAAAGAAAAGATTTTGGGAAACTTGTGGTATCAGGTTTTCCACTTATACTACACATTCCAAAACATAAACCAAGGAAATACATGATGGGAAACATGAGTTTTTGAAACAGAAGTCCAAAATACAATACAACATAAATATAAAACCCACATAAAAAGATGTCGACTCGTGGTAGAACCCTGAGCGAAGAGTCACTGCTCGGCATGATCTTTGGGAGGTCTTGGTGAAGGGGGAGGGGGGGGGGGGGTGACATTTAAAAAGGGATGAGCTGAAATACTCAGTGAGTAGGGGAAATGGGAGGTTTATAAAAGTTCTTAAAAAAAGAAGTAATGATAACATACAACAATTCTTAAGCAAATCCTAATGACAACATAATTATATGAATGTGCAAAGAAGACAACCACCCCATTCACGTATGCAATATGTGATTTATTTCTAAGCATCCTGCACTCAGTAAACTATACTCTGACTTACTTCCTTTAACTGTATCGGATTCTGAATAAAATCTCAACATTTGGTATTAGAAACTCTCACCACAACTAGTACCCTAGGGAAAATTTGTTATACCTGGTGGGCGTCCCACACGCAGGCAGAGCAAGGGACGTACCTGTCATACCCTGACAAGATCTATCATCGTGCGGGCAGAGCCTCTGAAACTGTCTTACCTGCAGACCACTCAACTCCTAGGCAGAGCATTGATAGTTGTCATACACATGCGTAGAGCCAAAAATCTGTATCACCGGGGGATGGGTACTTCATAGGGTGGTTTTAGCACCACAAGTATCTCATGCATAATCTCAAGTAACATATAAGTCAAGAACACATTACATATGTGCTTATAAATCATGAATATATGACATAATATTCAAAAATCACATATAGGGGTTAAACTGCAATCTTTTAAACATGTTTCAAAAACTGACAGTTCAACCCTTTTTAATTGCTTACTTAGCTTCTACCTTCCCAAATTAAAAAAATGTCACAACCATGAAACCTTTACCAAAATTAGGAAGTTTATCAATACAATTATGAAGCCCCGATTTCATTATCACCAAAAACAATAATTTAATCTCTAGAAAAAAAAAGGGGTTAAGATTATGGTAATATCTCATCTTAATACAAACATACCCATTTAACAATTTGACAGCTAGCCTCAACACTTCGCATTAAAAAAAAAAAAAAAAAATTATGCACTAATCCTCCCTTTAATTATGCATTTCCTCTCTTCCGATTCTTTTTTAACAAGACAAGACAATTAATGGTAAAGACACATGCATGTTTTTGACAAAATAAAGGAAAAAGCACATTTAAAACTCGCTTACTACACACGTCAACATCCCTTCTCTAACCATTCACTTCCTTCCTTCAACTAATTACCAACAATTACATTCATCTCTACCAAGATAAGACTAACGTTTCCAAGCATTTGACAAGCAAAGTTTACCCAAAACATAACTCAGTTGATGTAATGCTTTCTTTCTAGCTAGTATACTCGTAAAATAATCGCTAAAACTCATTAAAAATATATATAAGAAAATACACATATATATACGAGTAATAAAGTATGGGCCCATATTTAATTTTTCTTTATATACAAATATTTACAAAATGTTCTCAAAAATAGCAACTTGACAATGTAGCCCAACCCTTCCACTGCATGACGTTCCGAGCGACCGTAACTCACCTATTACCTGCAAAACATTAAAAACAACGGAGTGAGCACTAATGGCTCAGTAAGTAAATCTGCTATGCTACCCTTCTCTCTTCGTTGCTTAAATCCTGAATTTTCTTTCCTTACAACTCATTTCCCGAGTATTCTCTATTCTTTCTCTGTTCTTCTCTCTGTTCTTTCTCTGTTTTCTAATTTTTTTCACTACCCATGATAATGAGCATGGCATTATGCATATTCAGGATGCAAATGCACAAATGCATAAATTATGCATTTTCTTTTCTATTTTTCTTATTCTGTTTTTTGTTTCTGTTTCTTTATTTCTTTTCTAGTCTTTCTTTCTTTCTATTCTTTCTTTCTTTCTTTCTTTCTATTCTTGCCGATCGGACTCGGTTGAGGCATGGATTTGGAGCCTTGGCCGTGTGAGTGAATTCTCTAATTCTTGGTACAGTCCTTAGCCCCACACACACTTCTAACGGATTGTACAATTCTTCTTTCTGAATTCTGAGCCCGCTCACTAAAGGCGGCGTACATGTGGACTATGTCACTCACGGTCCCCATCGCAACAACCTTTTTTTTTTTTTTTTTTTTTTTTTTTTTTTTTTTTTTTTTTTACACTTCTTTAAGAAAAATTCAGTTTGAATATCTTTAATAT